GTGAATACACATACTATACAGAGATGCTGTATGAGAAACCAATGTGAGTTTGGAACATTGAACAATATAAATCTATTCTAGTAGACCTCAACAATGGAATTATGATCAGTAGAGATTGCCATGACATGGGACCTTTAAGATATATCACTTCTTGCGAGAACGCCCATATACAAGATGGACGTAAACAACAACGTGACGTCGGAGCTCCGTAAAAACAAAGCTTTCTCTGGTGGATGAAGTGTCTGCTTCAACAAATGGATACTAGTAGAGAATAAAAAAACTAAAATTGACTAACAAATAGACTCTTGAAATAAATCTCTTCAGGTTTATTTTGATATAATTGAATTCAACCAATGGCTACCTGGAAGGAAATCAATCTAAAATGCTCGTCCATGTTTCCTCCAGTGGTGTTTGACCTTGTTGTTAATTATCCTTGCCGGATCTCCACCAATGAAACGAGCCGAGTCGAGCAAGGCCATTGATTTGCTGAATATTGTGAGAAGGTATTGAAAGTTTGAATTAGCTGTAAACTGTTTCTGTTGCTGTAACGCGGGCACACACACACACACCCACACACACACACACACACACACACATCATTTAGCCAATAAGCCGTGATATTTTATGGTTGGATATTAACTGAGGTTGATTGGTGTGTGATTGGAGCAGGAAGCATCACACCTGGGCTCACCACACACACACACACACACACACACACACACACACACACACACACACACACACACACACACACACACACACACACACACACACACACACACTAACACGCACATCAATACAGATTCAGAGATGGTAGGGAACAGCTGTGTTTTTGTTTTGATTGGCTATAAATTCGATTAGAGACGATTGCCAGTTTCCGTGGCAACATTGAACCTCCTGCAACCCCTTTAAATCTAACAAGTGTGTTCTAAGTTAATTTCAAAATAAAAGCATCCAACTGCGTCACTGAGGAGAAGTCAGTTTTAATATTAAAGAAGTACACAACAACAATTTACACACTACAAATCAATATTATTCTTCCAAATTCTTAGAGGTGAATCAAAATCAATGAAAGGTCAGTTTTTATCAAAATAGGCTAAAATCTTCTATATTTCCTCACAGCCAGGATCAGATCGCTCCACTCCTGCCTCTTTCCTCCTGCAAATAAACAACACAAAGCAAAATAAACAAACACATATCGCTTGGAGGAGAGGACATTTTACTTTCATGACTCTCTCTTTACTCCTCTCCAAATACTTAATGTGTTCCTTAAGGGGCCTTTGAGGCAAGCTTACGTGCAAACACAGGCTGACAATTACACACATACAAAACTAAAACCACCGTTAAAGCATCCAAAAATAATATTAGGACAAATGTGTCAAATACATATATCATATTGGTCTTTCAAATATCTTTTACAAATTCATGTTTCTGTGTCACTTAGTTATGGCTGCCAGAAGGAGTGATCATTTGAGGGAAACTGAAGCAATACATGTAAAAGTACCTTAATCTCACACACAATATCAGTATGTCGTCACAGAGCTCCTCAGTCAGCGTCAGAGACAGAAAGTCTAAATCTGATAAGGCGTTACAGTAGTGGAGCCTTTCAGAGACGAAAACATACAGAGTGAAGTATGCAGAATCGGCTGTTAGCACTTCCTGTTTGCAGTGTACCTACACTCAACGATCACTACATTACTTTGTGACTGAAGGAATCTTAAACACAGATTCTCAAGCTGCGGCTTTGATTGTGAAGCGGATTTAGGAGCTTCTATTGAGAATGTAAATTATATGTTTTGCTGTCCTCTGAGTTTGTGAGTCACATCTAAAAAGGGGTGTGTTTTAACATTTCACTGAGTTGTGAATTCTTCTTAAAGTACCCTAACCTCCCACACTATCTTTATATCTGTCTCTCTCTCTGATAAGGCTTTAGAGTAGTGGAGCCGTATGGAGACAAAAACATACGAAGTAAAGTATGCCCAATAAGCTATTAGCACTTCCTGTTTGCAGTGTACCTAAGCATCAGCTGTGGCTTTATAACTTTCCGACTGAGTGAACCCGGCAGATGCCAAAGCAAATCCATCTGCCATGTCTTCTATGTCTTCAAAGCAGATTTACAGACATGTATTCATTATGAACATCAGATATACGACTGTTTTCATGAAGTGTAAGTCAAACTGAATCTAAAAATGTGTGTTTTATGGCTGTGTTTTCACATTTCACTGAGTTATGGCTTTCCGGAAGAAGTTAGAATTTGATGCAAACTGAAGCAACATGTTTCTAAAGTGTTTTAAAGAGCTTTAACCCTCACACACAATATTGTTGTGGTGCTGGGTTATACTCACAGAGCTCCTGTGTAATTGTTTGAGACAGAAGGAACTAATCTGATTGGCTCAACAATTGTCATTGGACACACACACACACACACACACACACACACACACACACACACACACACACACACACACACACACACACACACCACAACACACACGGCCGCTCTTAACCTACATGCTAAATAGGCTCTTATAATGGATTCAGGAGGAAACCGGCAAGTCCGAAGCCAGGCGCGTAGGATTTATGTCTGCTTCTGTAGTGTCAGGGGGCCAACCAGCCTGCCCATAAATCCTGTGCTGGTGTGTGTGTGTGTGTGTGTGTGTGTGCCTGGTGTGTGTGTGTGTGTGTGTGTGTGGTGTGTGTGTGATGTGTGTGGTGTGTTGTCGTGTGGTGGCTGTGTGTGTGTGGGTGTGTGTGTGTGTGGTCTGTGTGTGTGTGTGTGTGTGGTGTGTGGTTGGTGCTGTGTGTGTGTGTGTGTGTGTGGTGGTGTGTGTGTGTGAGGAGAGAGGAGAGTTTGTGTGTGTCGTGCGTGAGTTGTGTGAGTTTGTGTATGTGTGGAGTGTGTGTGCGTGTGAGAGCTGTGTGTGGTGTGAGTGTGTGTGTGTGAGAGAGAGAGTTGTGGGTGACTGTGTTGCGGTGTGAGGAGAGTTGTGTTATGTGTGAGTGAGTGATGTAGTGATAGGGCTTTCGTATGTGTGAGAGTGTGTGTGTGCTGTGAGCGAGAGAGTCTTGCTGTACTGTGCGTTGTGAGAAAGTGTGTGTGTGTGTGTGGTGTGGTTGCACATGCCAGGGGCTGAGCGTTTACAATGGTGTTGATGGGTCGGGTCTGGGCACATGTCAATGGCATCTGTTTCTAATGGGGGTGTGTGTGTGTGTGTGTTGTGTGTGTGTCTTGTGTGTGTGTGTGTTGTGTGTGTGTGTGTGTGTGTGTGTGTGTGTGTGTGTGTGGTGTGTGTGTGTGTGTGTGTGTGTGTGTGTGTGTGTGTGTGTGTGTGTGTGTGTGTGTGTGTGTGTGTGTGTGTGTGTGTGTGTGTGTGTGTGTGTGTGTGTGTGTGTGTGTGTGTGTGTGTGTGTGTGTTTTTCTCCTGTGTGTGTTAAGGGTTTGGCAGGGTGGAATCAATGAGATGTTAAGACGTCAACTTACAGTTCTACCGTGTGTGTGTGTGTGTGAGTGTTTCAAGATGTTTAAGTTGAAAGCAGATGTGGGATCAGCTCCTGTGATGAAGTTAGAAGCTGCTGCAGACTTATATAATTAGTTATAAAACTTCACATGTAATAAAACGTATTTACATGAAATGTATAAAAACAAATGAAACCACAGAGCCTTAGTTTCTTCAGACACAGATCCACTGATTTTAAATTCAGAAAATATGTATGCTTTAATATTTACAGCAGTGCGTATCAAGAGTGGAACGAACAGAAAATGGTGCATTACTGTAACAATCATGTTCATTGTGTTCAGGTTCATGGTTTTCTGACACATTTACCATCTCATCTCATTGTTTTGCTTTTATTCTGAAAAATACCTTTTGGTCCCATTTAATCTACTAAACGCAGCAGAAAAGGACACAGCGAGCTACACACTCCTGGGTGTAATGGGGCGGGGGTAAAAGGGTCTTTGCTCTGAGCCTCATTATCCCTGCGTGAGTGTGTGTTGGCTGTTAATGTTACTGTTGTTAGCGTGTTAGCGTTGGTGTGTTAGCGTTGGTGTGTCGCGCTGCTAACGTGTTTGAACCTGCCACAGAGCACAGAAATGATTTACTCTGTTTACCTAACTGTTTGACCTCCGTGTGGTGTATGTGTGTGGCAGTTTGCCAGGCCTGTTTCAACACTGTGTGTGTGTGTGTGTGTGTGTGTGTGTGTGTGTGTGTGTGTGTGTGTGTGTGTGTGTGTGTGTGTGTGTGTGTGTGTGTTGTAATTATTTAATGCAGCAACTCGTAACTCTCTCTTTCTCTCTCTCTCTGTATGGTTTAGCTGCCACAGTAATAAATGCAGGTGTTTAGGAGGCACCTCTAAACACCTGGGACCTGTGTGTGTGTGAGTGTGTGTTCAAGGTTCTTTATTGCCAAACTAACATAGCTACAGAGTAATTATGTCGTTGAAAATCTTAGGTCACAGGCTTCTCCAACAATGCAACACAATAATACGACAGATAAACAGGTGTGTGTGTGTGTGTGTGTGTGTGTGTGTGTGTGTGTGTGTGTGTGTGTGTGTGTCTCACCTGCAGCAGTTGGATCTGGACGTACTGAGCTCCGGTCACAGGGTCTCTCAACGTCAGGCCCCCATTGGCTGCTGCTGCTCCGTCACCAT